CAGGCGTTAAACTATCAAGATCTGATGGGTCACTTGACATTGGACAGATTGGCCGCGAATTTAGTATTGCCTCTATTTGAGAGAAAACTGTTGAAAGTTCTTCAAAAGTTAACTGTGTGTTCCCTATAACGCGATATAAATGATATTTCATACTTTTAATTGCAGCTTCCCAAAGACCTCCCCAATGAGGACTTCTTGGTGGAATGAATTTCCACTGTGTTTCATTGGCCGATAGGAAATTATCAATTTCATTCAAATTATGTTTGCTTCTGAAAAAAAGTGATACTTCCTTGAGCTTATTATTAGCACCAACAAAATTTGATCCATTATCACTAAAAATTATAGACGGATTACCTCGTCGTGATATGAATCTTTTTAGGGTCATAAGGAATGCTTCTGAAGATAAATTAGAAACTGCCTCGATGTGTATAGCTTTAGTAACCATACACACAAAAACTGCGATGTAACATTTTTGTACAGGGGCTTTTCGTAATCGTGATGATTTGATCAATATTGGTCCACCAAAATCTATACCAACTCTGAGAAATGGTCTAGAATATGAAATTCTATCTTTTGGTAGATTTGACATGAGTTGTTGAGCGCTTTGTGCTTTGAATCTGTGACATCTAATACATTGTTTAATAATATGTTTTATTTCTCTCAAACCGTTAATAGGCCAATACCTTAATCTGATATTGGACAGAACTGTACGAGCACCAGCATGATACAATTTGAGATGTTCCTTGACAATTGAAACATAATTTGTTACTGATAACAAATTGCTTCTTCATGGGGTGGCTAAGAGAGTTGAATTTAGTGCACTTATAAATATTATGATTATTATAACCACAATACAAACATTTCAAATTATTGAGCGGTTTTGCGGGAGGGGTTGAACTACAAAGATGAGAAACTTTATTAGTCTCTGAGGAAGAGAGATTTTCCAAAACAGTGCATCTTTTTTCGAGAAAAGCGAAAAATATTTCAAGAGTGGAGAGAGCAGTTGAACTTTTTTCTTGTTCAAAAGCTCTGCGTGTATTAAAATCCAACTTCTGTGAGAAAATGAAAATCAATATCAAATCCCAAGAAGATATTGGTACTTCTAGATTTTCTAAACATTTTAGATGTTGTTTTGTTTGTGAAATGAAATTTCTCAATGTGTGTGCTGTATATTTGTTCAAGGGAGGGCATTCTAACATTTTTTTCAAATGATTATTTATTATTAAGTGAGTATTACCATATCTCTCTTGCAAAATATCATATGTTTTGAAGTTTTCGTTAGTGAGTTGTAAATTATTAATTAAAGTGAGTGGTTCATTTTTCAGAGCTGATTTCAAATAAACAAACTTTTCTACATTGGTGATGCTTTTGTTGTCAATAACAAGAGCTGTGAACAAATCTAAGAAAGCTTTCCAATCTGATACATCTCCACTAAATGAAGGTATATTCAACTGGGGCAACTGAACATTACCTTTTTCATGTGTCTCTATTTTATTTATTTGTGAACAATTAGTATTGATCAATTGTTGTGAATCACTTTCTATATTTTTGATGATTTTTCTCAATTTGGTTAGGAGAGTACAATATTTACTTTCAATCTCTTCTCTGTCTTGGAATTGTGATTCGTCCAGTATTTCAATATCATCCTGAATACTACAATACCTTTTGAAATTATCAATCAATAGTGATTCCCTAATAACATATTCTTCTCTATCTATATCTGTGTTCACATTTCTATCAATAAAAGTTTGGATGCGAGTTATTGCTGCTTTACAGACTCTCCTATGCTTCATCAAATCTTCCATCATGAGTGAATAACTTACAATATCTGAGTGTATTAATAAAATAATTCGGTAGATGTGGGTTATGAACGAAATCTATATGGAAAATAAACGTTCAGGAAATCGGCAACTTATGGAACAATCTGACCTTGACTACTTGAAGAATAAACTTATTAGGAATGGTTTTCGCACTTCTGCTCCTGTTGAGATCTGGAACCAACTTCTTTCAAACTAGTGGGTCATGGGTATATATTTCTTTTCGAGAATTTGAAATCTTCAAATTCTACTTGGAGTTCTACTCTTGTGTTTCTGATTTTTCTCTAGCTGCATAATCCGAATTCGAAGGACCAAACATGTGGGGGAATCCACATATATTCTTTCCAGGCTGCTCTTGCTGGTCAATAGGTTCAAGTTTGCTAGTGAAACTCCAGAATTTCTGTTTTTCCTTTTAATCAACTTAGAAAAAATAGTGACAACATTTGACATTCAGAAATTAATTTTTCATCTGACAGTTCTATCAACAACAACCAAACAAAACCGCACAATATTTTAAGTCAGAGAGAGATTGATGGAAGCAAGAAAATCTTACCTATACAGGGTATAGTAAATTCCAAACATGGATGAAGAAACTACTCATTTAAAGGATATGACCAAAAGAGCCTATTGATTTTTCAACAACAACAACAAAATGAACTTTATTGAGTATAACTATTCAAAAGGCCATCGACCGAGGTCCTTCAGCCACACTACAAGTTTTATACAATGAGGACCAAAAGTCCGTCGCCCCCCCTGTAACTTCTTTATTCTACATATTACAAAAAAATGTTGAATACATAAGTTGTAGGGTTTCATTCGATCTCTTTAATGGTTTAAGTTTCATTCATACAGAGTGTCTCTAAAAAGCACGGTGACTTAGAAGTTATTTTTTTTAAATGGGACACCCTGTATTTCATTGCATTATTACATTCTACGTTGAATTCTGAACAAGTTTGATGAATGGTTTTCTATCAAAAAAGTTAATAGTTTTGGACTTATGAACACTTGTAAATAATTATTTCGACTACTTTTGCGCCAGTTCAATGAGAAAATCGTAACAAATGCATCACAATGTATTCCACTTTCCTATCCTAACTTTTTGAAAGTCCAAAACTATTAACTTTTTTGATAGAAAACCATTTATCAAACTTGTTCAGAATTCAACGTAGAATGTAATAATGCAATGAAATACAGGGTGTCCCATTTAAAAAAATTAACTTCTAAGTCACCGTGCTTTTTAGAGACACTCTGTATGAATGAAACTTAAACCATTAAAGAGATCGAATGAAACCCTACAACTTATGTATTTAACATTTTTTTGTAATATCTAGAATAAAGAAGTTACAGGGGGGGCGACGGACTTTTGGTCCTCACTGTATATACATATTAAGATTATCGTTATGAAAATGACATAGTTTCCATAAGAAAAAAATCATATAACTGTTCTCTACCGTGATGCAAATGTCTACTAGGAGAAACATCTCCCATAAAGTGTGCTCCGGGTGTTTGTATTGTGTTCTTCTATGGTTCCTTCTGATACAGAATGGAGGGATGAAATTCTTGTTCTCGGCTTCCTCACTGAATTTGGAGGATAATTGGACTAGTCTTTCCTCAATAGGCTGTACTCTCGTTGTCATACAGTAGTTCATTGGGTGGATTGTGGATGGGATTGTTAGGATGTCTTATTCTGGTATTGATACGTAAAGCAGTTGTTTCAGCTATTTTGAGATTTTTTAAGCCAGGATTTCTCAAGTTCTGGAATATTATATGTCCATATTCAAGCAGTGGTCTGCAAATCATTTTGTAAATTTTAGTTTTCGTGTATTCCTTTTCACATTTCCAGTATGTACATTGAAGTTGATTTTGTGATCCATATCAATTCCTAGGTATTTTGTAGCATTTTCAGATCTTAGTTCATGGTCATGCAAAGTAACTGTAGGAGATGCAGGTGATGCCGAATGGAAAAATATTACTAAATGTGACTTCCTTAGATTTGGTTTCAGTCGCCATTTATTGAACCATGCCGTTGTTTTGTTAGCTGATTGTTGGAGTTTTTCAATGGCATTATTTAAGTTTCTGCCGTGTTCAACCAGGGCAGTGTCATCTGCATATTGTAGTATGTAATTATTGAAATTGAAATATGATTTTCCAATTTCCCATAAACCTTCCCACATTATGAATTGTGATATCACTATTCATAATAATTCAACACACCCTTATCAACATAAAATTGCAGCATATGATATGATACACAGGCTAGTGAATGTCCCTCTTTCGGAAGTAAATTTCAATAAAGAACTCAATATCATAAAAACAGAATGCAGTCAACAACGGATACAACGTTAATTTGATAGACAGTATTCTTTCTAAAAAACTTCATAATAAAGCTATTCAGAAAGTTTATCTTACTATCAAGAATAATATTCAAAATTATAGAACTTCACCCTATTTCGGATCATCAACTGAAAAATTAGCTTCATTTCTACATAACAGGACTTAAAAGTAGCATATAGAACAAATAACACGTTGTAAAGGTTTATCAAAAATAATAAAGAGAAAACTCCTAAATTCGAACAATCAGGGGTATACAAACTCAACTGTGGATCTTTATATCGGTCAGACAGGTCGTACGTTTAGTCAGCGCATACATGAACATAAGATGAATTTTTTGAAAAAGAAAACAAATACAACATACGCCAACCATATATTAGAAGAAAACCATAGTTTTGATGATAATTTCGAAATTCTACACGTAGAAAATAAAGGAATGAAACTCAATTATTTTGTATCATTAGAAATCAACAAACTCGAAAATTCTGACATTTCACTTAACAATCAGTTAGACCTCAATAGTTCACCACTGTTGAATTTATTTTCTTAGTAGGTGACAATATGTATTGGCTAATCCGGTACACCGTATTTTGATGTAGATATTGTGCCTAATTTCCGAAAAGGAAGGTTTATCGAACCTGTCCACAGGTAACTAATCCTTCAAGTTGAAAAAGTAGGATATATAAAAGTTGAGCAAGCCAAGGTTGGTTTAGTTCATTGTATCAGTGTATCACCTGACGAAGCTACTGTGTTAGCGAAACATGTCGTGTGTTTAAGAATTTTGTGGAAATCTTATAGTTTGTGAAGTTTTTACATGAGCCTATCGGTGTTAGAGAAAATCGCTTCTTCCAGAGGAGCACATGCAAGCCAGAGTGCGACAGTTCGAAGAAACGGTGGAACTCTGCAAGCAGCACCAGCACGACCTGGAGCTGGCCAAGGCGGCCATCAAAGAAAAGGACGAGACGCTCGAGCAGGAGCGGTATTTGGCCAAGTGGTACGAGGACCAGTCGAGTGAGAAGTACGAGGAGGCGCAGACCCTCCTCAAGGTATGTTGTTTATATTGAGAAGAATGCTTCCTTTAATAATGATCTGATCGAAAGGAGCTAAGAACAGTTTTACTGTTGAAGGAAGTATCACACGATTTTTACCCCCCGCCCCGCAAACCCTTCCCCTATAGTGATTTTAAATAAATTAAAAGTAAAAAAAAAAGTTTGATAAAAAGCTTTTAATTGAACGCTCTAAAAACAATAAAATAAAGTGTTTCTTCATAATTTCAACTATCAACTTATAACCTCATTATACACAATTTATATGATCATAAAAGCTTGTCGCGATGATAATATTTAATTGAATTGAAATTTTAAAAATTAGTACTAGTTTATTCACACAAGCAAATCGCGCGACAAGCTTCTATGATCATATGAATTGTGTATAATGAGGTTATAAGTTGATAGTTGAAATTATAAAGAAACGTTTTATTTTATTCTTCTTAGAGCGTTTAAATAAAAGCTTTGCATTAAATTTCTTTTTTACTTTTCATTTATTTTTTAATTTTTAGTTATAGCTGGCTAGGTTTCCCAGACTGTTCATTTCATTCAACGCATCATTGTTGGAAGGTCGTTTGCCGGTTAATTTCGGACAGTCCAGCTCTTCAATAAGGAGACCTTATGATTTTACACATTATTTTCAGAGTTGCTATCAACGAGCCCTTGCATTTGATACCCATATTGTAGAAGTGAATTAAAAATAACTATTCCATACCCATATTGTAGAAGTGCATTAAAAATAACTATTACGTCGCCCTGGATGGTCCGCCATATTGGATTCAAAATGACGTCACATTATTTTTTGAGTTACTCTTAACAAGTCTTTTCATTTGATACCCATATTGTGGAAGTGCATTAAGGAGGGGCCTTTCGCGACAGCTTTCCGACCGAATATAGCCTATATATATATACTAGTTCAACAACTATTTCTAGGTGTCAGTGTGATGTCGAAATCGGAATAAAATAATTGAATTACAGCTTTCACAGCTATTGTAGAGTTCTTCGATTTCGTCTGTTACAGCAGGTCACCAATAGGTGGCACACAATTGAATGCAATCGTAGGTAATTGTATTATGTGCGTGCAGTGTTGCCAGAGCTACTGCTCCACGGGCCTGCTCAACATGATTCCACTTTTCACTCCATTCAAGTCAAGCAAATACCTATATCTCGCTACAATGAAAATTTATGTCATGAGTCATTTTTGAAACTGTCTTCACAAGTAGTCTTTCGAATATTTCTTTTCCTTTTTAATGTCATTTCCTACTAATATAACTTATCATTATTGGCGTCGCCAGAAAAACTTCCAAGGATGGGGATCGAAATTGTTCAGGGCAAAATACTCAAAATAGTCTGTGTAATTCAGATATAATGTGTGCAAGATTTTTTATCAAGTTCAGATGGCTATAAATAGAAATTTCGTGTTTTCTGTATAGGGTATATACGTAGACGATTGCCTAGTTTCAAATATCTTCATTCTTACGAATTCACACTGCTATTACTGATATAAGGGTTATATTCTTATATACAGTGTGTAGAATGAAAGAAATCCTTGATTCAAATTTCATATTCTCTAATTCAGATCTGCTTGCTGAAATACAAATTTCGATCATAATTGCACTCATGAAAAAAACAATTTTTTCGAAGTGAGAACTTCTAGGCGCGTTGAGCACTTTTTTGGGTGGAGAAAAACATTGGATTTCGCGTCATCGTCACGACCCGTTCCGTGTCCCGTTATCGCGAGGTCAATGAATAGCAATAAATTTGAAGGGTGCAGTATCGCATCTCATCTTATATTATGTAGTATTTTGTAATTATGATTAGATTCTATTCTAAATTGGTATATGGAGGTTTTCGGGGTCGGAGATTATGATTCTTTCGTGAAAATTAGGATATTGAAGATGGCTGACGAGTTTTATTTATAATAATTATGATCCCATTCTATTCAAAATTGGTGTCTGGGGGTTCTCGGCGTCGGAGATTATGATTCTTTCATCATGGCTCCACCAAAATGGCGCACGAGTTTCGTAATTATGATTCTATGCCATTTGAAATTTGTATCTGGGGTTTTTTGGGGTCGGAGATTATGAATCCCGAAATGAAAAAATTCAAGATGACGGATTCAATATGGCGGACGAGTTATGTGATGATGATTCTATCCTATTCAAAATTTATATATAAGGGTGTTTGGGGTCGGAGATTATGATTCTATCGTCAAAATTGGGAAATTCAGGATTGCAGATCCATTAAAGCGGACAAGTTTTCTAATTTTATTATCCGATTCTATTCAAAATTTTTACTGGTGTTTCAGGGGTCGGAGATTTTGAATCATTAGTCAAAATTAGGAGATTCAAGCGAACACCATCTCAAAAGTTTTTGTTTGTCTATCTTAGACAGCGAATGTTTTTAGGTAATAAAGTTTGTCGCGTTGATAAAAATTCTGTTTGATAGTGATAAAACAGTGTATAGTGTGAGTGTGATTATATCGTACCAAAGTTTCCAGGATTCCCTGGTTTCGGTCTTCAACATAACGGTGAGAAATTGATTCGCCATCATATGCTTTCTATATCTCACAATCCATTTTGTTTTAATGGTCAACTTTTTTTAAATCATTTAAAAATCGAATTATAATAAAAAAAATATAAGAAAATTATGTTCATGCTGATATAAAACTCACAAAGTTATTGTATGAGGAATTTTAAAATGAAATATTTTTCTTGAACAACCTGTTTCTCCAAAACTAACAACATTTTCTATGAGAGATGTGAGGCTGCATCTTGATATTCTGATGTTTACTATTTCTAGCTCACACATTGACCATTTTCATGCTGATTTAAAACTTACAAAGTTATTGTATGAGGAATTTCAAAATAAAATATTTTCCTTGTACACCCTGTTTCTCCAAAACTAACAGCATTTTCTATGTGAGATGTGAGATGTGAGGCTCAATCTTGATATTCTGATGTTTACTATTTCTAGCTCACACATCGACCATTTTGAATGAATAACCCTGTATATATTTCAAAGAAAATTTTAATATCACGGAATTCATTGAATTTCAAAAATCTTCCCCAAAGAAGATGTAAGTGGAATATGAAGTATCTACCTACGATAATTCTCTAAAACATGAACTGGATGTTCGATAACGTCTCCAAATGTCTCGAAAAAAAAAAGCGGCTGCTATATTTTCAAATATTTCGTATGTGGCTGACTTTCCTGTTGCCTCGCTTTTCTGCCCATTCTTATGAATTTTTGCGGCATATCATTTGCAGCAGCTTGCAACACTGGCTTTTCAATTATTGATTATATGCCGGTTAGTTTGAAGTTCATCTGAAGTTCACGCAATTCAAAGTGGCACGTGGCGGACTAGGCGGACTGCGGAAAGACGGGGAATCACCGCGCGACCAATGAATATCCCCCCGGTTCGCCGCGGGAGGGAGACATATAACGATTTCTCGCTCAGTTTTGTTTTGTTGCCGTGGCGGTATTATCCTTTGTGAATATCGCCATATCAATGGATCCAAAATCTGAGAACTGTACTCTGAGAGTTCTGAGACGAATGTTTTTGCATGAGTTTTAGAGTGAAATAACTTTTGACACAGATTAACAAAGCTTTTTGAAGTTTGTTCCACAACTGTGCCATTCCTATCATTTCCATCTATATGCTGACATAATTATCGGTCTCATGAATAGAATTGAAGAAATTCTGCTGAATTTGTATGTTTAAATTTTCAGGTCTACTTATATAATTATAATTCAGTGACAAATTCTAGGCCGTTTCAAACTACTCTATTTATTTTCTAGTTCTTTTTAGTTCGGTTCTCTATACCTCTTCATTTTTTCAAACTACTCTTTATTTTCTACTCACTTCTTCTCTCAAACTAATATTTATTACAATAGCTGATACCCGGCAAACGTTGTTCTGCTATATACAATTATTTCCAGAAAATATTTTTTTAGTTAAATATTTATCAACATACTTATATTCATTTGTTTTATAATTCTTCTCCGACCCCGAAAACACCCAGATACAAATTTTGAATAGAATCGGATCATAACTACAAAACTCAGTTGCCATCCTCCATCTTCAATTTCCTTATTTTGATGAACAATCATAATCTCCCATCCCAAAATCCCTCATATACAAATTTGGAATGGAATCGGATTAAGTTACAAAACTCGTCAGCCATATTGAATCTGCCATCTTGGATTTCCAAATTTTGATAAAAGGATCATTATTTTCGACTCCGAAAACCCCCCGATACCAATTTTACATAGAATCTGATCATAATAATTAAAAAACTCTTCCACCATATTGGATCCACCATTTTGAATTTCCCCATTTTGACAAATGATTCATAATTATCTACGACCTCTAAAACCTCCAGATACCAATTTTGAATAGAATCTGACCATAATTACAAAACTCGTCCGCCATATTGGATCCGCCATTTCGAATTTCCTAATTTTGATAAAAAATCATAATCCCTGACCTCGAAAACCACCAGATACCAATTTTGAATGATATCTGACCAATCTGTTCTGTTCAGCACCAAAACATACGCTGATGCTCTTAGATTCCATCCAGAGAAGAGCCATTCGCCTGGTGGGTGACGCCACACTCACTCACTCTTTGACATCATTGGAACACCGTAGAAAGGTCGGCGACCTTTCACTTTTCTATCGATACTTCCACGGGAAATAGCTATCATCCCTCCACTAGCAATACCAGACGAAGTAGACAAGCCCAGTCAGCACATCCTTTCGTTGTCAACCTCGAAAGATGTCGAACAGCACTTTATCAAAACTCCTTCATCCATAGAACGGCTAGGCTCTGGAATTCAGTGCCCGAGGAAGTATTCCCAACAACATATAATCTCCAGAAGTTCAGAAAAAAAACTCCAATACCTACCTCCTGTCCCTATCCTCCCTAGGAACGCACGATGTTCTTTGAACATTATAGGGATTTCCTTTCGTGCGCTCCAAGCGATAAGAAAATAATTACAAAACTCGTCCGCCATATTGGATCCACCATTTTGAATTTCCTTATTTCGATGAAGAAATCATAATCTCCGACCTCGAAAACACCCAGATACCAATTTTGGATGGAATCTGACCATAATTACAAAGCTCGTCCGCCATATTGGATCCGCCATCTTGAATTTCCAAAATTTGACGAAATATTCATAATCTCCGACCCCGAAAACCCCTGAGTACCAATTTTGAATGAAATCGGATAACTATACTCGGTCGCCATATTGGATCCGCCATTTTGTATTTTCTATTTAAAAAATAGATTACGACCGATTCTCATACCTACTGAATACGCACAAAAAATTTCATACGAATCGGTCGAGCCGTTTCGGAGGAGTTCGACCACTATGACCGTGACCGTGACAGGAGAATTTTATATATTAGATTTGTTCGTCTTACAAACACTCGGAGAACCTCCCCTTGAAATATGCCCAGATAATTGAATAATACCCTCTGTATTATCACGTCGCCTAGATTTCATAATATGTCCGAGTAATATGTATAACATTGGCAACGGTGTAAACGGGTTTGAATTCATCATCTCTCCTAAGCGCCATCTGCTTGCAATACAATGCACCATTCCTCTCTGCCGCAGTCTGTCATTTCGAACACTGCCATCTATCAGGTAGTGCCTGAACTACCACATCCTAGTTTCCTGCATTATATTCTTTCAAGAAATGGAGTTTACCGAGATCAGCTGGGATGAATGGATATTTTGTTGACAGAATAATCGTTTTTGTTGCTTCCTGTCCGAATGGAAACATTTCAAGAGCTGATATTCCAGTGACACCTTGCCGAATTTCCAACAATTGTACTGAGATCGAAAATATTTCAATTTGAGACAAAAAAATTTCAATGTTTACGTTTTTCAAAAATCTGTATCTTCTATAAATAAATGAGTTTCGACTCCGTATGATAACCAGGCCCTAGCCCCAACCTTCTTCTTTACGATGATTTAATCAGTTTTTCAATTGAATCATTCATAAGCCCATATAGCAACATCTAGTGAAGCCCTGCATGTCGATTTGGTTGAATCTCTCCTCTTAAAAATAACTATTTCGTCATCTTGAATGGTTTGCCATATTGGATTCAGAATGACGTCACATTAGTTTTCGAGTTACTCTCAACGAGCCCTTTCATTTGATACCTATATTGTAGGAGTGCATTGAAAATAACTATTCCGTCATCGTGGATGGTCCGCCATATTGAATTCAGAATGACATCACATTCACATCATTTTTCGAGTTACTCCCAACGAGCCCATTCATTTGATACCCATATTGTAGAAGTGCATTGATTATGCCATCTTGAGTGGTCCGCCATATTGGATTTAGAATAACTTCACACACCTTATCGTGCATTGTCATCCAAAATAAAGGTGTATACAAAATTTCAGCTCAATCGGTTGAAGATATCTACTTCAAAATTGAGTTCAAAGATTCCATCCGAACTAACATACATACATACATTACAAAATTAGTACCATTATACCAATACCGAAAATTTCAAATACCACGAGTAAATATACCATGTATGCAGATGATACAGTACTTTTACATGAAGGCAAGAATCCTTCAAATTTAGAAAATATGATAAATGAAGACTTGAAAATATTTGACAAATGGTACCACTCTAACCTTTCATCGATAAATACTAATAAAAAGAATATATGATTTTTCCCAAAAAAAAAATAAACAAAAAATTTACCTCAACCTCAAAATAATAAAAGAATTCTTAAAACAAGCTGACCAGATAAAATATCTTGGCATTTGGTTTGATGACAGGTTGAAGTGGGACAAACATATTGATGTTTTGAGAAAGAAAATATCCCCAATTATTGGTGCATTGAGAAGATGTCCCAAACTTGATATTGAAATTGCAATTATGATTCTCTACTCTCATATACTGAGTCGTATCAACTATTTAATAAATGTTTGGGGAACTTGTTCAAAGAATAATTTCAATAAAATATCAACATTATATAGAAAATCGTTAAAAGTATTGTATCGTCTCCCATTTGATACACCAACCAATCAATTGTTTGAAATAACAAATACGTATTCTTCAGATGAAATATATAGAATTGAAACTCTTAAAATATTATATAATATCATAAATAAAAAATTGAAGTCGAATTTTATGTTGATACGGAATTCTGAAATTCATAATCTTGAAACAAGGCAATATAACTGGTTTCCTCTTGACGCCGCTAGCTCCATTATCGGACAAAAAAGATTCACTCATTCAGCCTTAACTGAATTCAATAAACTACCTGACAATATAAAAAATTGTAGAAATATAGGTTCATTCAAAAATGAAGTGAAAAAATTCATTATTTCTGAGCGAACTGGATTAAATTGAACATGTCATTTTTTTTACAAATATTATTCTTTGTTTGTCAGTTTACAGTTGTTGACATATTTTGTATAATGATATGATTACCTATAGGTATATAATTATGTACTTCCTTATACCAGAGCCTATTCTGTCTGGAAGTTATTTGTTCAATAAATAATTAAATAAAAAAAAATAGATGCAAGTAAATTCAGACCCATAAATACTCTTCCTACTCTTGAGAAAGTGATGGAAGTGGCAGCTCATACACAGCTGATAAACTATTTGAATAGTAATAATATCCTTAGTGAGCACCAATCGGGATTCAGGAAAAGTTCTTCATGTGAAACAGCTCTTCAATATACATTATCAAATTGGATTAAACATTTAGATGAAAACAAATATGTTATTGCAGTTTTTCTTGATCTGAAACGTGCATTTGAAACAATTGATAGGGACATTTTATTACAGAAACTGAGGTATTATGGAATTGCTGGTTCTGTTTATAATTGGATGGAAAGTTATCTTGAAAATCGAAGTCAAAAACAAGAATAGGCTCAAGTTATTTCAATACATTGAGTAATAATATTGGAGTACCTCAAGGCAGCGTCTTGGGGCCACATCTGTTTATTCTTTATATAAATGATATTCAGCAAATTGCAGGGAATTGCTTTATCAACTCATTTGCCGATGATACATTGGTGTATTGTGCAAATCACAGTTTGGACCAAGCTATATTAGAAATGAACAACACATTAGCCAATATTGAAAGATATCTGGAGACAAATAAACTTAAATTAAATGTTACTAAAACCAAGTCAATGATTGTTACAACCAAATATAAATATACTTGTGAATTCGATTGATATAGTGATGGAAAATACATCTTTGGAGATTGTAGAAGAATTCAAGTACCTGGGATTTATGATAGATAATAATCTAACATTCAATAGTCATGGAGAATATGTCATTAGAAAAATTTTTAAAAAAATGTACTTCTTTCAAGAATTGCAAAAGCACTGTCCATGTTTGCTAGAGTAACAATTTACAATTCTATTATTATACCTGACTTTGACTATTGTGCAACAGTAATTTACTTATTTAACCAAAATCGAATTTCCCAACTGCAAAACCTTCAAAATAGAGGAATGAGACTAATACTGAAATGTAATAGATATACTCCAATTAAACTGATGCTAGATACTTTGCAATGGTTTTCAGTTAATACTCGTTTATTTTACATGACTATGACCTTCATTTACAAATTGAAGAAAGGCCTACTTCCTTCCTATTTCAATGAATTCATAACAAGAAATGATGAAATTCATAACTATAGCATACAATACTCGTTTATTTTACATGACTATGACCTTTATTTACAAATTGAAGAAAGGCCTACTTCCTTCCTATTTCAATGAATTCATAACAAGAAATGATGAAATTCATAACTATAGCACACGAATGAGGACTGACCTTCATATTCACAGAACGAATTCCAGTATGAGCATGAGATATCTATTTTTCAAAGGGTTAAATGAATTCAACAAACTACCTATGCATATAAAATCATCAGTATCTTTATCTTCTTTCAAATCATCATTATCGAAGTATGTTAAAACTCTATGAATGTTGGACGGGTGGGTATTGTATTGAAATGTTAATAACATATTATCCTATATTCAATGATTGTTTCTCAACTTGATATTGTCCTCAACCTGTATTAAGTTTTCTGTATTATTAGCTTGATTGTTTAGTTATCTGTTGACTATATGTTAAATTTTCTTTTTTGTTTTTAGTATTATTGTTAATGGTTTTTAAATATGTGTCTTGTATAACTATAACTATGAATTGCTATTGTGAATTTTATACATATATATGTGTGATGTTAAATGTTTTATGGATGCTCGAGATGTTTGTATATTAGACTTTCCTATTTTTCAATAAACTACTACTACTACTATACATGCATACATCCATACATTGCAAGTTGAATAAACGCTTTTTTCCACCACTAGCTATAAAACCTACCATAATTTACTCCTTTTCGAGGCGTAAAGTGTGTTTTTACTACCAAGGTAGTTTTCCTAATATTATGGACCACTAGTCAATAAAGACATAGCCACCTCTGTTGTAATTAAACTGAAGTCACTGGCGATTTTCGCAGGAATGGCACTCGAATCTAGTATTTTTCAATAACGATTTGTCATATGCTGTCATGGTCGTGCCTACTAGATTTTAATTAAAATAGAAAAGAAATGCTTTCATAGTGTAAATAAGTCCATATTTCAGTTTCACAGAACTAAAATGGTTGAAATGTATTACTAGTGGTGGAAAATATTTAATATACACCTTGGTTGTAAAGAATATTATTACCACGGGACCTTATACCCCTCGGCTGAAGCCTCGGGATATAATCTACCTTGGTTTATAGATTTACTATTAATTTTAATAAAAATTACTTTTATCAAGGCAACGCAGACGTTGACAACGGAGAAGGAGATTTTGTTGGCCAAGCTGGAACACCAGTTCCACATCAACTCGTCGAATCAGAGCGTCGCGCAGACGGCCGTCTCGCACGTGGTGGATTTGCTCAGCGATTTCGGCAAAGAGGAGACGGCCAGATTCGAAGGGATAGCCAAAGAAAATGCGGAACAGGTATGTGGTAATTTTTCTCTCAGAACCCAGATAATCCTGAGACAATTCCATTTCGAATAAATATTTTTCCTGTGAGCGATTTTTGTATTATTGAAAATGAGGATATTTAGGAGTATCCAAATGATCTATGTAACTATTCTGTCTTATGTGTCATTTTGTAGCATTATTATAAAACCTTTATTACGCCGGCGGGAGTAGAAGTTAGTTTGTCTGGTAACAAAACAAAAGGGGCAGAAGTCTCGTATTATTCCCTAGGGAGATGATGACATATTTTCTCCCTAGAGAGTTTATACCAACTTAACATTTTCCGCATAGCTCTGCGCTTTCCTTTCGGAACACCCTTCTCTGAAGCGAGTATAAGCTGCATCATACAGATTTCTAGATCTCATTGGTAGCAAGTTAAGAATCACTGCAGAAGCAGTATCAATAGTTTCTTGGGGTTTTCCCTCGATTTCTTGTTCCATAATCGTTAACCATTTTCAAAGCTGTTTTCATAAATTTCAGTTTGATATTTGCTGTCACCATGGGTTGTCAACAAGATGCATGTTGTCAAGATATGAATTCCACAAACTTTACTACTACTAATTATGACAAAACACTTTGACCAAATTTTTGTTCTTTCTTAATTTTCTGTTTTTGCCAGCGTAAAAAATAGTATATACACCTCATGACAGAATACTATTTTTCTCTCGGTGCTTTGCATCTCTCAAGCTATAAATCGCACCTTGGAAAAAATATTGCATTTCTGTCCCTTGATGTATAATGTACTATTTTTTCCACAAACAATATGGACAAAAACACTCCTAGGATAAACATTGTACCTAACTCTTGCGGTAAAGTACTACTTTCGGCATTCGTTAGGTACATATCTTATTAATTCCTATTCTTCATACAGGGTACTTGGATGGGAATAATCTCAGAGTAAACAGCAATAGACACCGCGATTCATTAATAAATGATGGACAGTACAAAATATTTGGGATTATTCTTGGATGAGAACAAGGACTGGAGCATATAGAAAAAAAAGTGGTACCAATGATTGGGGTACTCTACTGATGTAGGGATTACCTAAGTAATAAGATACTGAAACAAATTCATAATGCCTATTTCTTACTATCATTCAGCTACCTAATGCCAGTGTGGAATAACATCAATGAATAAAACACAGAGGATTCAAAATAAGGTAGTGAAAGTTTTATTCAATTTCAGTTACAGAACGTCAACAGATGTAGTTTATTCAAAATAGCAGAAATATTAAAAATTGAGCAAAACACAATTTTGTACAAAGTGATTAATAACAATTTCAAATGTAATTCGCAGTTAGAGATGGTGAACAACATACATAATCATGATACCAGAAGACAAAACACTTTATACATTAGTAATGTAAGAACAAACATAGCTTTGAACAGCCCACTGAACAAATGTATAAAAACATTCAACAGTCTGCCACAGTATATTAGAGATATTCCTAACTTTAGCCAATTTAAAAATAAAATAAAAATGTATGTTCAAGAGGAAGATTGATAGTTGTTATGAGAAATCGGTGATTTTGAATATATTTTGAGTGGTTATTATGTGTAGGTAATTTTGAAGTTTTAATATGTATTTTAGTATTTGTGACTTTGAACTTGTCAGTTTGAATATGTATTGTATTTTTGTATTTTTGTTCCGGGACCAGCACTTTTGCTTGCTGATTAGGAAACAACTTTTGTTCAAAGAATTCTAACATGTGTTGTTTTATTGTATTGTTTGAATAAAAAGTACTTAAAAAAAAGTGTACCCCAACAATCCTAAACCCCAAACACTGATTAATTAATGAAATGCGAATGGTAGGGATACCTCCATAACTACATATATTATACTACCAAAACCCGATATTTATTCACAAAGTTCACACTTCTGTAAATAATCTCTTCAATTCTACCAGTTTAGGACGGTCCGACGGACGGTTGAGGGAAATACTTAGCAGGGTGCAAGAGTAGTAAATTGATTCATTTGTTCAGTGCGGATAGGAACAACTGATGAGAATAATATATTCTATATCTACTAATTATTAGTAATAGCTAATGTGATGACGCATTATGTAGGTTCATTGCGGAAGCCAGCATGCCCATAAGGTGTTTGGCCTGTTGGTATCAGTAATTTCTAGGAAACGAGCCGAAAATACTTATTCTTTATCTGGTGTTTTAATTTTTTTATTGTTGCACCATTCAATAAAACTTGTGTATTGCATCTCATACCTTTCTTAAGACTTCGTAGGTAATAACGTATCTGTAGCTAGAAGGTTTTGATCCTATGTATGATCCATTGTGGCAATTCCACTGAATCGAAAATGACAGTAACACTGTGTCCTGTGCCTGTCATTCCGACAATTACATTAAAATTGGTTCGATTGGCATGACTACAATAATTGTTTCCCACATCAGACCAATCCAATCCTATAGGGGGATTTCTATATCAGTACATTTTTATTTTTCATTATTCCTTAATTTTCACAATAAATTGCAATTTGATGGATGATTCGGAACAAACATACTTAATACAAACAAGTTTAAACTTCATTATTCCATCACCAACCACTTATATTTTGCGATAATATTATATCATTGTTTTTCCTAGTGTGGGAAAAAATCCCGCATTATGGTGGGAAACATTTTTCCGCATTGTTGCGGGAAAATGACACTTTCCAAACTGAATTGCGTGCGGGTATAGGGTGAAATACGCACCCTTGTTAAAAAAACATTTTGTCCAAAAGATGATAGGATAGTATTTGAAGAATTATCTGGAAGTGATTTCACTCAAAAAACTGACATCAAACAAAATTGGTCATGTCAGTTTTCCTCGAAAATTACTTATTGGCAAATTTCGAATAGATTCATCCGATTAACAAAAATCTCTGTGCCTTTACTGTTGATATATTTTAAATATACAATTCCTCTTTTTCAAACAAGATATCAATAACTATTGATGGAAAACGCAGTGACCTCTTACCAAACTAGGGAAATTAAATAAAAAACATTTGAATTCTTTGGAAAATGGAGAATAGCTGTCGCTCATATGGTATGGTTTCAAGCCAGTCTATATATTTCTTCAAACAATAATTCATCTTTCTGGATTCTTGAAATTTTCTTTCCTCCTGTCGATAAATATACATGATGCACCAAACACTGTTTGGTGCATCGTGTGCCAAATTGAAATGGTCGAATGAAGCGGTCATCTGCTATCCTTTAAGACTAGTTAACACCTTTCATGTCCTGTGGATTATTTTTAATCGTCTTTTTATCTGTTATCAAAAAAGACCCAAATTCCACATTCGAATACAGATTTTAAAATAAGTATATGGCATAGACTCTGAATTTAAATTTCATTCAGATGTGTATTATGTTGAACTACTTTTGAATTCAAAACTAGTGATATAAGTCATCTAGAAACTTTGTGGTCGACCGACTTAGTGTTTTGTGTTTTTTTTTCTTTTATTTTTTTTTTTTATTTACTCGCAAAGTTTCGAAATATTTAAAACTCGAATCAAAGTTGTGACGACTTGGCTAAAACAAAACCAAAAGCGACCAGGATCTTCCAACTCCCTCAAAACTTCTCTAGTCTATCCTCTTGCTAATTATGTGTCACATGCCATAAATATCTTTCAAGAACTAAATTCACTAGAATTGTGAATCGAGTCACATAAGGCAAATCTTCAGAATTATGATTTAAGAAATTGTCTTTGTTTGAATGATACCTGAACCTATTAAATTTGTTATCTCACTCTTATGAGGTGAAATCTGTCTGGTATCTTTATTTTTTCGTGGATTATACTTGAAATAAACAAAAAATAAAATGGCATTTATAACATATATTTCTCATTCATTTCATAAATCTCACAAATCGTGCTCAAATTGTTGGCCTCTGTTGCGAATGCAGGCAATAATTGTTGTTCGAAGTCGTATTTCCTCTATTGCAATAATACGCATATTTTTATTTTATAGAAACGAGCAGAGAAAATTCCAAATAATCAAGTGAAATGAATGTACCACCTCCACAATTAACCTACAGACAGTATTCAGTACCTCCCTAGTTGGAACTTTCGTTACCTATACCATCTCTTTGGCACGTCCCTAGACATGAAAATCTTACGGAGTTAGGTCTGGGGAACGTGGCGGCCATACAATAGGGCCATCACGCCCAATCCACGCATGGAGGAACACATTGTCGCGATATTCCCTCACAGTCAAACGCCAATGCGCGGGACAGCCGTCATTCAGGAATACTATGGGCACATCTTCATTAAATCCTGGCATCTCGGCCAATATACCATCTCTTTGGCACGTCCCTAGACATGAAAATCTTACGGAGTTAGGTCTGGGGAACGTGGCGGCCATACAATAGGGCCATCACGCCCAATCCACGCATGGAGGAACACATTGTCGCGATATTCCCTCACAGTCAAACGCCAATGCGCGGGACAGCCGTCATTCTGGAATACTATGGGCACATCTTCAATAAATACTGGCACCTCGGCCAATAATTTGGGCAGGTCATTTTGTAGGAATTCCAAATAGTTATCACCATTGAGGTTATCAGGCAGGTAATGTGGCCTAATCACCTGATTCCCAATCACTCCTGCCCAAACGTTTACACTAAACCTTCTTTGGAAAGATTTCTGTATTTTACAATGTGGGTTTTCTGCTTTCGGTGCCCAGTGATGCAAATTATGTAGATTAAGAATCCCTTCTTTTGTAAATTTGGATTCATTCGTACACAGTATTCTTTTTAAAAAATCAGGATCATCCACATCCGTGTGTATTAGAAATCAACAAAAATGCACTCGTCTGTCAAAGTCGCAACTCTCAAGACCTACAACATAATATGAAAAACTCTTTTAAATTCCTCTTGAGCAGTAAGTAATTGCACAAGAAGATTTTTGAGTATGACCAGCTGAACGGGCTAACAAATTCATTACCTGAAAGTGACGTAATACAATACTCATTATCTGCCCAACA